GAGATACAAGTACTGAAGACTCTTCAGGTTTTCTATCTCAGGTGATAATGATTTTAGCTTGTTACCACTAAAAAATAATATTCTTAGATTCTTCAGCTTTCCTATTACAGCTGGAAATATTTCAAATTCGTTATTAATAGGATACAATTCCTGTAGATTCGTTAGGTTTTCTATCTCAGGTGGTAATGATTTTAGCTTGTTACCACTAAGAACTAATATTTTTAGATTCTTCAATCCTCCTATCTCAGATGGTAATGTCTCAAAATTGTTATTAATAAGATATAGTTCTCGTAAATTCTTTAACTCTCCTATCTCAGATGGTAGTGTTTCGAGATCGTTATCACTGAGATCTAATACTTCTAGCTTTACTAGTCTTTTGATATTGCTATCAATAGATGTAATATTTCGGGAACATATAGATATTTTAGTTTCATCCACAGAATACATTTCAAAATCATGGTGTGTGGAATGTGCTACTTGTCCTTTATTTCCAGGATCTTCAAGTGGATTGGAATTTTGAATTTCACCTGATTTGGCATCATCCAAGCTCTGAAATGTAACTCCCGTTAATACAATTAGACTGCAGATTGCTTTGTGTGCTTTTTTCATTTGTAGAATATTCATTAACATGAGTGTGAATTTTAAAATTTTTTAAATTAATTAAATTGTTTGAATTTTGACAGGAAAATCAGTTATAAGCTTAGTTACAAATAAGACAATAATTTCTGTCAATATTCAATCACTACTGTACTAATGAATCTTTGTGAGTAAAGTATATCTCAAAGACTCAACTTGAAAATTTTTAGTATATTGATAGATGTCAAGCAGCCATACCATATCAGATTATACTAAGATGTGAGTTTTTAGATCAATTAATACTGAAATAACCTATGACACACAATTTCACTACATAACTATAATTATCTTCTCGGCACATTGACAGTAAACTGGAATGCTTACGTATTTCTACGCTGTGAGCAAGTATAGCACATTGATGCGCTTTTCTCCACTGCATTATTTTTTAGTTGATTTTTTGCAATTTTTTGATTTAAAAAATTTTGCCCCAACAATGAACAGTGATTCAGATGTTAAATGCTTAGTTGAATTGGCAAACCATTGTCTGATAGAGTATGACAGCTCTGCAATAACAGTAGACATTTTAAAGATCATATTCTTTATCGGGTCAATAGCGGT